TGGAGGACCGCCCTCTCATGGCTCCAGATCGGATCTGGCTGACCATCCTCTGTCCATGGTGTGTGTGTGTCACGGCGTGCCTTAGGCAGAGGGTTGAAGATTCGCCGCGGTTCTCTGTCGACACTACTCCGGTCCCCCGCCCACATTCCTCGATCGGTGGTGGTGGCTCTGGCATCGTGGTTGCTGTCGCAACGTTGCTCGTCCCACTGCGGCGGCTACTTTTGCGGTGCATCTTTAATGACACTGCTCCGGCCATGACGGTCTTTGGACATGTGGGTTTGCCGCGATGAGGTGGCCTTTTGCGTGTGCGGTGCGGGCCGCCGTCATTGCGATCCTCGGTTGATGGTGGTGATTTAGATGAAATTGGCCAGACGGTGGTGACTGCTGACTGTTCTGCAGTGACTTCCTACGGATCCACGACAGCGAGGTTATCGAAAAGACTTCAGGAGGTGTTATCTCTTGATCCGGTGGATGACTTTCTGTTGTGTGTTACAAACTATGGACAACGACTTGATGCACATGGATGTTTTGTGGGGTGGCGGCGGTCAAATTGTATCTGCTGGTATTGCGGAAAAGTGGTGGCGACAACACATGGGTGACTTTGATGGTGGTGTTGTGAGCACCTGGTCTCGAGCTCCGGGGTGAAAGCCTAGGTCAGATCCGAGTGGTCATACCTGGCAATGGCGATGTTTTCTATGTCGTTACCTTGTTGGAGGCATTGCTCGGATATGTTCAGACTATCTTTCAGGGTGAAAACTTTGATTCTGACCTTTGTGGTTGGATCCGGCAACGGCGCCGCTTGAGTGTCGCTTCCTTCCTGAAGGCGTTGCTGTTGAAGAACATCGGCCTCCATGTGATGTCAATGGTTGGTGCGGATATGGTCTTAGTTGTAGTTTGTCCATTGCTGATCTGATCGCTTTGGAGTTTTTTTTTCTTTTTCCTTTTTATTTTCTCTTTTCCACGCCTATGCATAGCTTTTGGTCTTGTGACCTTGCTAGTTATTGGCGTTTTTTTTTTGCGTGTGTGTGTGTTGGGTTGGCTGTGTGCATTTTAATTATGCAGAGGCCGGGTGTGTGCTCATATTGTATTTTCTCGATGCTCCATTTGAGCCAATAAAACTCACCCTTTATCGAAAAAAGGTCCGTTCAATTTGGAAACTAAGTGCCAAATCAACACACAGCCATTACAGCAACAAAGCCTTTGGTCCCAAACAAGTTGGGGTAGGCTAGAGCTGCCTCGCCCACAATTGCATGCAATTAATTAGGTGGGCAGTCAATCACATCATAGTCGACGCCACTGCGTCCGAGGACAATCGGTCACACACCACCACTCTTTAGATATCGTTTCATCCCGTAGAAACGCACGGGTATTTAGCTAGTATCTTGCTAAAGCATGGAGGAGCATAAGCATATGTCTTTACATAGATGATTACCACTCTTTTATCTTATTACTAGGTAATTGCCCGTGTGTTGCAACGGTGTCACACATATTAAGCTTTTTTTAGGGTTCTGTCACACATATTAAGTCTAGTGCTTGTAGTCGTCGCTAGGTGGTCTACGGACCTAGATGTGTTTTTTACTTCTGGTGTTCTTTGTACTACCTTGAC